GAGTGAGAGAGAGACCGGGGGCTTAGTGAGGCCATTTTTGTTCTCTGGGGCCCGAAATCGCTCTAGGTACGGATTGTTTTTCACCTTTCCCTTGGGCGCGGCTCAAACGAGGGTAATTTTCGACAAGCCACAGCTTTTAGAACTTCCTGGACGGTCCGGAAATTTATGGCAAATTATGACTGCTGGTGGTGGAGAGGGTGGCAGGAAAAGCGGTATTTTTAGAAGCACGGAAAGTTTAATTATGATATAAAATTAAGGTATATTGACCTCCAAATTTAGCCAAGTAAATTAATAAACTAAGCTTCGAATTGGGTTATGCAAAATTCAATTCCGCCCAAAGAGTGTATTATTAAGCGTAGTGCTGATCAGCTGACCAATAATTTCGACGAAACATATCTTTTGCAAAAATTTGAATTTTAGATTTTCGAAAAGCTATGAAATTGTTAATCCTTTTAAATTAGTAATTTGCAAAACATTGATATCGAAATTATTATGGAAATCCCATAGGAATGCAGGCGATTTCCATAGAAATAGTGTAAAGAGATAGCCTACAAACATTATGCAGAAAAAAGTTTCAGCAACCTGCCAAATTGGTGAAACGCATTTTTCGCAGAAAAATTTTTTTGCAACGAAAAAGGCGACCAAATTCGCCAACTTCGCGGGCTTAATTCGGGGGTATTCAGAAGGACAATCAGAAGAATGGCGGGAGGGGAGAAGCCGCGGAAAGGCTTCCGGAAATGGTGTCAGTTCGGCAGCAAAGGCCAAAAGGCAGGATTGTTCCCCAAATTGAGGGACAATGGCTCGAGTTTCGTTCTTTGTTGTAAAAGAGGCAAAGTTCAGGGTGAAGCTTAGAAAATCTTGCAAAAATTAAAATCGTAAATATATTCGGAAAGCTTTGGACAAGTATCAGACAATAAGAAATCTCCTGGATTTTTAATTTTTTTGAAACATTGCTTTTCAAATAGATTGCCCTGAAAATAGTAAAAAATACGCTAAACTGTGCGCGTTACATTTAAATAAGATATAAATATTTAAAGCTATCGGATGAATATAAAAACCGCCAAATTCCAACAAACTTTTGTAAAACCTTTCTAATACAATAGCGTAAAAAGCCTAAGCACGGGTTGCGGAAAACTACTGACCCAAAATTTTCCTGAACTAGCCGATTTTTCGGAACAGTTAACTTTCAATTTTTTTCGAGGAGTTTGAGGTGAAAAATTAGCATACGCAACGCAAACTGGAAGCGTCGAATTCGAACAAACGTTTTGTAAAACCTGTTTTTATGAAAAGCCTCTTGTAAAGCCTTTTTCAATGAATGAATTTTAAAAAATTACACCAGAAGTTTAACTGAGAATTCCAAGATCGGACTAGATTCAAAAATTTTCAAAAGTACCTAAATTGTTTTTGAAACATTTATTTACAAAATAAGCATAGTATTTCAACATAGAAAAACTGAATTTCCAGCAGCGCTTTGCAAAGCCTTTTTGATAAAAAAATAAAAAGTTTAAAATCTAACCAGGATCGACCACTACATAACCCAAAAATTTTCAAAACTACCCAATTTGTTGAAACCTTTAAACTTTCGCAAACAGTTCAAGCGAAAATTAATGTCAGGACTACAAAATAGAAGGGCCAGCCTTTCGTAAAGCCTTCTTCAATAAATAACGCTTACGTAACGTCAAGCTAGTAGGCTGAAAAATTTTTAAGACTACACAATTTTTTGAAACATCTGATTTCCAAAATTTTCCAAGATTTTGAGGGGTAACAAAGATAGGAGCAACACCTAAAAATAGCCCACAATCTGCGCAGGGTATTTTATTCGCGATATATTACCGGGAAACTGTTATTTTTAGCCGGTGTTAAGCCGTCGGGGTCGGGGCCGGCCCCAGAAATAAGCGAATGGCGCTATAAATCCCGGGGGTGCTGACGGATTTCAGGGTTTCCTGTTGATTTTAGCCGAGCCCCCCCCGATTATGGCCAAATACGGGGGCAAGGAGGACATTTCGAAAAATGGGAGCGCCAGGGAGGTTAAGATGGATAATCTGCCACTGGTTGAGAGGAGGAGGAAGAGGTAAAACGGGGTCCCGCCAAGAACGGTAGTTAAGGCGAGATATATTTTGGTCTTGAGCTAATAGAGGCCGGAAAGGGCTTTGCTTAAGTTATTATTAGGCTTAGGCTTGGGCTTGAGCTGAGGAATAGGCTTTGGAACAGGTTTAAGCTTGGGCGTAGGCTTACAATTAGGCTTAGGCTTAGGTTTAGGCTTAAGCTTCGGCTTAGACTTAGGCCTAGGTTTGACTTAGGTAAGAAGGATCTTTCGCATTATCGGGGGGGGGGGGGCGGGTGCTTTTTCTCTAGGATTCAAATTTTCTAAAATAAATAGAGGAGTGTTTCCAAACGACTTTTTTACTATTCCTAGGCGCAAAAGCTTTACAAATTTTTGTTCAAACATTAAAATAATGAAAATACCGATTTTTCGACCAAAATGTCGATTTGCGAAAATTTCGGTTTTTTAACCTTTCGTAAAGGTTCCACTTAGATACAGGTAAAATTTACTAGAACCACTTTTAAAAAGGCTTTGTATTGTATTACTAGGCATTTCAGGGATCATAGCAAAATTGATCCCCCCGCATAATGGAAAAGAACCTCAATTTTTGTAAAGTAAAAAGCTTTCGAAATTTTCTAAGGATTTTTAAAGAGTTTTCAGGCGCGGCTTCTTCTTGCGATTAAATTGGGGTTGATTGAACGGCTATTGGGAATTTCACGAAACTCATCTTTTTTTCCCAGGCGCGCCAGTAACCGAACGCGCGTTCCATCCTCCCTTACAAATGCGATTTGGCCCCCCGGGGGGCTCTACCCAAATTCAACGGCGCCCCAAAAATGGGATTGGGCCCTAACTGGGGCCATGGGCCATGAGCCGCTAGGGCCCATGTTTGGCCCCTAACCCCCCAAAAATTGGGCGAACGCATTTCGTTTACGCATTTGGGAAGGGTCGGCTCCCGGAAGGGGGCCGATCCGCAAAATCCGCCAAATCCCCCTAAAAATAACCGGATATTCAAGCGGAAAAGTTCCACGGGATTTTCTGGGTTTTGAAAAACTCTAGATTTCCCTTATTTAGAGCCGAAATGAGGTTGTTTTCGGAGAAATAACGGTTCTGGACTGTTAGCGGGGGGGGGCACTTTTTGTTTTTTTTTCCACCTATACCTATGAGTTGATAAGACATACGGTATTTTTCTAGGGTTTTTAGTAGTTTTCGATTGCCAGAAATTGATTTTTTGTCAAATTCTTGAAAATTCAAGCATTTTGGCCATTTTTTACAATCCTTCTTAAAATCTAAAACTTCGAATTATTTCATTTTTTCTAAGCTATGTAAAATGATCTAAAAATCGTTTATATTTCGATATAGACGAAATTACTACAAAAAGGTGGGGTACCGCCTGCCAAAAGCCCCCCCCCCCGCTAACAGTCTAGAACCGCAATTTCGTAGCTATTTTAAAAGCACATTCCCAATGCGGTTTTAGCCAAATTTTTGAAATCTGGCCATTTAAAAAGCATGTTACAACTAATTATAAAGAACCAAAAATCCGTTACTAATTAATCCGCGCCATTCCTTGTTCAGCAATTCGATGCCATAAAGCTGGATAAAATAAGTTGGACATCAAAAATAAGAATTTCATTAGCCGTATAATAAAATTCATTTAATTTATAAAATTGCATTCAATTAAAGTTTTAAAATTCTTTCATTAAAAATATATGATACAATTTTGCAGGAAGGAAAATCGGCATCCAGGGCCGCAAAATCAAAGGAAACACGCGGCGGAAACCCGAATTCGGTAAGCCGGAAAAGAGAGGTAGATGGTAATCTTGACCGGATCCAATTCGGGGGTATCCCCGGTTTTTTTGTGGAGCAAAATTTATCGCGATTTCAATCTAGCCGCTCGGGGGCGTTAATTAGCAATAAAACAAAACGTATAATACAGCACCTGCTGCTCGGGTTACGGTAGGCTTCATATATCGGCATTAATAAATTATTAATTTGCGTTCCAAATGCGCAAAATATATTTTTTTTTACTGGTGCGTAATGACAGCAGACTGCAACCTGAATGATGAAAGTATTATTGCACAAAAAAAACGAAAAATCCTAAGATTTTTGGAACATCATTTTTCGGATTGTCGCCAGAGTCAGTTTTTAAAAAAAGCAGATGCGTGGGATTTTTTGGATACATGGGGATTTACCTAACTTAACCCCCTGAGTTCAAAGATAGAGTTTATTAATTTCACCTTCGTTATTGTAATAAATACTAGCAAAAATACAGAAATCATAAGTTAGTAAAAAGATAATTTTTCTAAATAATTTGTCGCAACACTTATATTGAAGAAAAATACTAATTAAAATCAAAATTTGTTTAGATGAATTTTAATTACTATATAGTGAGTACGAAATACGAAAACGCGGCGTCCAGTGTCATTAATCCTCAGATTCACGGACCCTAAAAATTCTTGAAACATATTCTACTAAAAGCCAGGCCGAAAATTTAAGTAACAGAATTCTTTTCAAATGAAAACTGGGCTATTTTAAGCAAAGGGCCCGGGATCTGGGCATTCATGAACTAAAGCCGAATACAGCTTTTCCGCATATATAATGTCACTTTTTACAATCGCCGGGCCAGGTGTTAGCCGGGCGTTAATTGGCATTCAAAATCGGGGCGGGGGACCTATTTGGGTGACCTCAAGGTGCCCATTAAAGCTTTGTAATTGGGTAGTTGAATTTTGGGACTGTCTGCAATGGAAATTTGCAGAGACAATTTGCGGAAAATAATATTGCAAAGTTCGGGTGGTCGAAAAATTATGTTTCATCAAATTTCAAAGTTTAGGCCGACATTTGAAACACAATATTTTCTGCGCCCATGTGGAATTATCGTGATCATGCATTCGTACAAAAGGATTGTCTGTCTAGACCTGGCCAATAACAGCGTTGATTTTCAGACTTGCTGACCCCTTTAAAACCCCAAAAACTCACCAAAAATCAGCCCCAACGATTTGCTCCTCGCTCGGGACAGCTTCTTCGCCAAGCTCTTCGACTTGTTCCGCTTCTTCTGATAGTGTTTCCCATCCTCTTCATCGATACTCAACCGTCGATCGATCCCAGAATCATCAGAAGACGTCGAATTCTCAGAAGACCCCGAATCTTCGGCTTCTCGACGTCGCCTCTCCCTCCTCGGTGTTGAGCTTGGGCTAGACGTCTGGTGGCCCCGATTTTTGAAGGAGATCCTGCGCTCAACCGCTTGGATCGAGTGCTCAACATCGCGTAGCCTGGCCACCATCGTGTCGGCGGCTTCTTCGTCGTGCTCAACTTCGACAGGTTCGGCCTCATCTTCGCCCTCGGAACTTTCCCGTTGCCACTGGGCGGCCATCAGCTGACGGACCTGGGGAGAGCGGGTTTTTAGATATTTTGAAGATTGGTACGCTAATTTAAAAAAATCGGAGGCTAATTTTAAGGGAGAGCCTTGCCTTTGGAAAAAAAAACATGTTTTGAGCTTTCTAAAAAGGACAAAATATTGTGAGCAGCTAATGAGATGACGCTACCAGTAAAATTAGTTAAAATAAGAAGTTTGAGTGTAATATTTAAATTTAGTAATTAAGTGAACTTCTGAAATTAAAAATAGCAGAATCCCAGATAAAACCAACGTTTTAACAAAATTCCGGTAGTTTCCAAGATCAAAAAGAATGGAAGGCCGGTGAAAATCGGCAACATTGCGGAGCTAACAAAATTCTACATTTGTGTTTTTTCGTGAAACACATAAATGTTTGAAAATGTTTTGCCGTTTTTTGATTTAACGCTGATAATTTAGGGGACATTTTCTGTTTTCCTGTTTCCGCTAATCCTATCTAGGAAACACCAATCGATAGAACGTCAAAAAAAATCACAGGAAAGTATTTTCAGCTCGACAAAATTTTATTTAAAGTTTTATAGCATAAAAACCACAGGATAAACTACAAGCTTTTCGGGGTTGCACCCGGGGCTGTTTTCGGCTTTTTGAATATTTTCGAGATTTTTAAAAATTCCATTCGATTGCGGGCGGCAGAATATACAATGAACTTTTTTATACCCCGAAAAACTATTTATGAAACTACTTTGATTATAAAACTTGGAGTGCCCCTTCCCGTTATTCCCCCCGCTATGCTATATGTACCTATCAACTCCATTACGGTATTTCCCATTAAAAGAGATAATGGCCAGTCGAGTCAATGGGGCATTGCGCGAGGCCGGAATTTTCCAGGCCGGCAAATGCTCCAAACATGCTTTTTTCAAAATCGGAAAATTTAACGCCAAAAAGCTTTGATGTTTAGATGACGGAAGGCACTCAAATCAATTGATGTGGAGATTGATCAGACAAAATTTTTTTGATATTAATAAATGCTCAAAACATGTTTTTTTCAAAAGCTATTTCCTTTAATTCATAAAGACCTTACTATTTAAAACCATGAAAAGATTAAATTAAATTCAAATAAAAAATAGGGTTGCATTTAATCTACTCTAATTTAAATATTTATATTTTGAAACTTAATATTTATAACCCCTTAAAAGCACCTCATATGGTGATGGCACCTCAGAGTCCGAATTTTTCTTCACACGCAACGTGGCGTTTGCCGGGATTGAGCCGGCCCGTTTTGGCCGGGTAGGTCCGAGTTGATGCTCGTCCAGGGTAGTCCCCCGTACACATCCGGTCGTCATCCGGCGTGAGCTTGGCCGTAGCGCCATTTCCGCTTCATGGCCCGCTTCCATCGAGTGGGCGGCCCCCATTTCTGTGTTTCGCTGCGTCTCTGCGATCTCGTCGCTAAATTTGTATCCTCCAGGGGTGTAGAGAAAAATCAGAAACAATCAGGAAATCATGAGGAAAAATGTGTTTCTTAAAATCAAGTGGTCAAAAATTTTTTGAAGACCCTGGTGGACGAAAGATATTTGTAACTTTAAATTTGATTGTTTAAAATGAAATGAAATTTTAACCCTAAGTTTAAAATTTCCACTTTTTAAGGTGTCCCCAGCTAAATTAGTAGATTCAGCAAAGCCATTAAAATTCGAATAATCGAGAAATTGTTGTAAAAAAATCGTCTCATAAAATTAACTGATCAAGAAAGTTTTGAAGAATTTAGTGTACGGATTTTTTGTTATGCCTTTATTATAAAACTTGCAAATTAAATTTAATATTTAATAATGCATGTACGAAAATCGGAAATCCGAAAATCGGAGAAATCAATTAGCAATAAAAATCGATTCAAAAGGCTATAAAATTGATTGCATTATATCTTAAAATGACGGTCAGGCGGAATAAGCGGAAAAGAATACCGCTTCGCCCCCCACTAACAGTACAGTACCCTTAATTACGTAGATTTTCAAATTTTAAAAGGACAAAACGTTTCACAAAAAAAGATAGTAAATTCCAAAGTGTTCAGCCTAGTACGCCAACTATTGGTCATAAAAATTAACGCCAATGGTGTGATCGGAAAACTGTAATTTTTTGCTGTTAAATTCCTAATAAAATCCTCAAAAATAAGTCTATTTTTCCGGGGTCACGAACCGTAGCCGGGCCAAAATTTATCTGTATCTCTACCATTTCACCGCCCCCAAAATCCCCTCTAATCCAGATTAGTTTTGCGGGCACGCGGTGGCCGGCTTGAAGAAGTTGACTGTTTTCCGGGTTGATTACAGTGATAGTTGGAACTTTGCTCAGGGTTTTAATGATTCATAAAGTTCAAAAAAATCGGTACTATCACCTGTTCTATCAGTTTAAAAAAATAATGTTTCAAGTATGGTATGGCTAAATTTGGCTGATTTTGGTCTAATAAATAGGTTTCAGTATTGCTGACATATAAAATGAGATTTTGAAAACATTAGTCGATTGTAAAACAAATTTTTGCGAATTATATATTTTAGGATGTCATATATAAAAGCTCATGCTCATGCTCAAGCGCAAGACGTCTTGTCTATGCCTTGAATACATAATTTTCGACAAACAAGGTGTTTCTAAGTAATTTCCCTAATTAAAAACACATTAAATTCCTCTTTAGCTTAATCATTAATTAAATCATAGCAAAATAGCAAAAATGAGATCAGAAGGCACGGAAATGTAATTAAGCAATTGATTCGATCCAAATAAACAGTTGAAACAAGATCCAAATTCAGCTGGTGATTATAAGGATAAAATATTTGTGAGGTATGCTTAATTTTGAAACTCACAAAATTTGATTGAAAAACTGAACAAAACGTATTATTATCATCCTTTTTGGCAAGCTGACACCATAAATTTGTTTTCCGTTAAATATGGCCGTGGATGGGAGCGTATCGGAGTATCGGAGCGTAGCCCCCCGGGGCGAAAATAGATAGCAAAATTTCGCGGACCACCCGAGGGCTGGGAGAAAGATACTTTTTGGCCGGCCGCCGAAAACAAGGGGAAACAATGGGTGGGATGAAAAGGGTGGTGTTCTCAACTATTTTTTTGCGTAGAAATGTTTCACCGAAATTAACAAATATCTTGTGGAATATATCTTTAATATTTATCTGACTAATAACTAAAAAATTCTAATCTCCAAACACCATAGTTATTAGCGTATTCCTACTGTATAGATAGGTTTGGCGGTCTGCAAAAAATATCCTTCATTATCTTTAGATTTTTACTTGTCTTAAAGTACGAATGGTTTAAATCAAGCTATGGTTCTTTGGCATTATCGGGGGAGTATTTAGTGACTTTTTTATTATGTATCAAATTTTTTACTGGAAATAAGAGAAGTGTTTCTAAACCATTCTTCTACGACTCTTAACCGCAAAAGGGTTGTAAAATTCCATTAAAAATACAAAAATAGTGGTTTTTCGACAAATTGCCATCGTTTAAAAAACCTTAAATAGTTTTTTATTTAAAATATAGTCACTTCTAATAAAAAACTTTGTTAAAATACCTACTAAAACGGGACTTAGATTTCGGGTAAAATCAAGCAAAAAACTGAAAGTACACCGATGAAGTATTACAAAAAACGTGTTTCACCAAAATTAGCTGATGTCCTCAAAAATATCTTGCGATTTTAGAGATACGATGGTCTCAAAAATCTTTCAATCCACAAAAACTTCCATCATCCATCAATTAATTCATTAATAAAGCGTAATTTTTGGTCTTGAGAACGTCTTGATTTGATTCAGTGTATCTACTTTATTTGTAAGCCAGAACCGCAGTCCATTGCCAATAAAAAAATTTTGCGGCCTTTAAAAAGCATCGAAACATTTTTTTCGTAAGAGTCGCCGAAGCGTCTGATGCCACGCTAAAAGGGATGAAAATTAATATTCCGGGTGGGCAGCCGGGTACAGAATGCTTATCAAAAAGCGATCGAGGGGGTGGAAAGCGTGTGTTTTGCGGTTGGGGGGCAAAAATAGGCCTGGAGGGGGAGGAAGGAATTGAAAGGTTTAGGCCGAAATGATTCTAATAGGACCCTGAATATTTTAGATAAAAAATTGTACTTTAAAAATACTCACAACAAATTCAAAAATTCCTGTCCAATGAAATGTCTAGAACCAATAAAAATTTGGAATTTTTCGGAATAGAGAAATGTTCCAAAAATTTTCGAAGCTATCTTCAGTTTTCTATGGGGAATCGATCATCGATTTCCAATAAAATAATATAAATAATCTCAAATTGTTCAAAAAAAAATTTAAAGATGTTATATTTTGAGAAGGGGATTTAAAATTTTAAGTTAGCAAGGATAAACTACGGCTTACGGTACTTTCGCATTATCGGGGGGCAATTTTTTCCTTTTGGCTCCGTTCTTATAAAACAAACAGCGAAAGTGTTACCAGACTGTCTTTTACTAGTCAAAAACGTCAAAAACTTTTCCAATTCTCACGAAAAAATGTAAATATTTTCCGCCAAAAATTCACTTTTTCAAAATTTATAATTTAAATACAAGTTACAAAAACAAACTATTTTTAACTAATGAATAATATAACTTCTAACCGTGTAGAAAAAGGTACTCCAAGCCTTTCTAGGCCGAACTGCCAAACCGGATCGATTCCATAATCTAGTTCCAGTAAATTTTTATTTTTTAAATTTAGCTGAAACACATTTTTTCTAAAAAAAATTTCGGCGCAAAAATACGGCGAGAAATTGGATTTTGACGAAACACATTTTTTTTGACAATTTTTTTGACTGACAAAAATTTAGGCGTAAATATAGAACTTCTTTCTCACCTCGTTCCCCCAAAAAGCTCCTCAATGCTGCCATTAAAGGTGCAGTGGTCGAGATCAAGCTGCGGCATTTTCACTACAGTATAGCTGGCGGCTAGCAGATTACGGTAGCCAGGGCACCGGATAGCAACGAAATGAACAGCTGACCGTTTTGCCGTGTTTACACTGGCGATTTTTGTATAGGAAATTAGTGGGGAGGTGGCGGGGATTGTCGCTGCGGGACCCAATCAAAAAAGGACAAATTGAGCGTGACGAGCTAACGGTGCATGCAGCCGGGTCGGGGGAGGGCTCCGTTTAACTACTCCCTCCACACCCCCATGGTCCCAAAAATCAAAATCCAAACTTGTAGGTAATAATGGGGTTTTTGCGGCAACACAGTTCGACGTTAGGAGTTCAGATTCCAGATCTATGAGCCCTCGAGGTATCTATGGTGTCGGCAGGGGCTACGGAATTGCCTTCAAAGGTCCTTTAAAGTTAAAATGACTTTACGATAACGTATGGTGTTTGATTTGGCTTGAAAAACTATACCCCTTTGCCATTCAGGAGCTACCTTGAGGTTGCTTTCCTCCTGCCTTGCGACGCGACCCCCACCTGGCTCACTATGGCGACAGAAGCTCGGGGACTCCCTCACGGAACAGAATAGCCGCGACTGGTAGGCACGGCGCTTGCGCTAGCCGTGCACGGCCCGTGCGCTAGCCGCGAACGGCGCGCGCGCGTGACGGAGCCGTGGACTAGCCGTGGACTAGCCGTGGACTAGCCGTGGAGTAGCCGTGCGCGCGCCGTGCACGGCTAGCGCCAGGCCCGGTGGCTGAGTGGCCGTTCGGGCGCCGCGCGCGCGCCGTGCGGGGGCCGCGCACGGGCCGTGCACGGCCTTGTCACGGCTAACGTCGATAGTAAAAAACGTGCAGCCCGCGCACTCTGACAATTATTTCTTATTTCCGACTTTATTTCTTCGCGTCTAGCCTATGTTGTTGTAGCCGTAAGGGTTTTAAAATGATATTATCAGTTATTTTGCTTTTCCATTGACTTTCCAAAACCAAAAAAGTTGTTTTACTTTTGCTAGTTTTTTGATAAAAAGTCATTGGAATACTAGAAAAGTTTTTTTAGCTAAGCAAGAAAAATGCGGATAAAGCTGTCTCTCCGCCACTAAAAGTTCAACAGTAAGTTGCATGTTTTTTTCGTCTATATTTGTGTTTTTTAGGTCGCTGCGCAATGCTTCGTCTGTTGCGGCTGCGACGAATCAATTTGAAGCCGATGGTGGTAATTTAGTACCAGATTTTCTTAAATATATTTCCAATCAAAGCAGCCAATCGACGACTTACTGCTGAAAAATGCAGTCACAAAGCCGCCACCAGCAGAAGGAGAGGAAAAGAAAAAGAAGAAAGAGACTAACCGAGCAAAAGCGCGTGTCTACAGGAGCAAGGGTCGAACTACAGGTACCGAGTGTTCTTGATTTGTTTTTCCAGGTCTGGAAGGCAGCTCGGATGAGGATGGACCGCCCGAACCCAAGCGGGAGAAGGAAGAGCCTGTCCCAACTCCGCGGCTCCGAAGCCAAAGCCAGCTCCACCTCCGAAGCCCGTCGAGAAGCCAAGGCCGATCAACATGTCGAACGCGTTTAGGGACGCGCTCAGCGCGCCGAAGATGGAACAGGTGAAAAAGAGGGTAAGTTTTGGTACGTTGACTTCTGACGTTAATTTTAGCCGAAGCGCATCGTCAAGCCCACGGAGTCCACTGGCAGTCAACGAAGAAGCTCCGCCGCGCGAAAAGCAAACAAGCCCATCAAAGTTGGAGATTAATTTGGTAAGGTTCATTTTTTAGTCTAGAATCTTGTTTTAAGGTGGTCTTTTCTCGGAAGTGAATCCGCCTTCCAGATCTGCATCCGAAAAATCGGGTACACGCGCGAATAATAGGACGCCTGAGCCTGTGGCCGAAGACGAGCCAGCACCACCACCACCGGTAAGAGTTTGCTTTTTGTGTTTTATGTTTTGTTTAGGCCGTCGCAAAAAGGCGCTTCCATTTTGCCGATGATTCTGGCAAGCCTCGCGTCGAAATTCGCGAGTTCGAGATTGACGAGAATGAGCGATGTGAGTTTTTTCTTCTTGGAAGTATATCTATTTTTTTAGACAGTACCCTTGAGTTTTGTCATAGTCGAGTATTGGTGCCTTTGACTTTATTTTGCCACAAAAGCGTAAAAAACGGGATATATGTAAACGCAGCTTAGACCCAAGCTTAGTTTGGCTTAACTTAGGCTTAGACCTAGCTTGAATGAACCAAAACTCAAGCTTTAGCTTTGCTCTCACATAAGCTTTGCGCTTAAAAAAACGTAGTTGGTAGCCTCACGTAGTCAAAAGTGTATGCAGCTTGGCTTCAGTAGTTTTTTAGCCCTTCCTAAATAGAAAAAACGCTTAATCTATGGTTTTTATTTAGGTAACTGAATGGCGGCTGCATCTTTCCGGGAGGAATACGAAAGCCGACGAGAAGCATGTTGCGAAAAAAGGTACATAATTCTGAGTGTCATTCATTTTATTTGTAGGCGCTTCAAAACGGACTGTCGCAACTTCATTCGAGGAAACCAGAAGCCTGACCGCGAGCTGACCCCGAAAATCGACAGAAAACAAGAACTCCCCACCCTCTTACCCGGCCAGGGTCAAATTTAGGAATTTGGAGCCGTCAAGGTAGTTTTTAGAAAATTAAATTAGCTTCTTCTTAACTTAACGTAGGCTAAAGTTTAGATAATGAACATAGGTACGTTGCTTTTGTAAAATTATATTTAAAGTATTATAATGAAAAATTGACTTATAACTGACCTTGGCCACCCACTCCCATTCCTTCATGTGTTGTATAATTATATGGTAATCCGTTTCTTTTTTATTGTGATGATTTGTATGTTCGTTTGCTTGTGATTTCCTTCTATCTGTCCAGATTGTTGACTTATTGATTTTGTTGCATGTTTTCTTTCTGTCGAATAAATATTATATGAAAGTACTATCATTGCAGAACTAATCAAGAATACACAATACAAATTTAAAAGCAAAAGGACGAATATTAATAGTAAAAGCCGTGAACCACGCGTCCACGGGCCGTGCGGCAGCCGTGCACGGGCCGTGCGCTAGCCGTGCGCGCGCCGCGAAAATTTAGCGCGCGCCGTGCAAAAGCCGTGCGCGCGCCGTGCGGAGGCCGCGCATGCGCCGGTACCGGCGCATGCGCGGCTTCCGCACGGCGCGTGCACGGCTTCCGCACGGCGCGCGTCGCGGCTATTCTGTTCCGTGCTGTCCTCGTCGGTTCTACCGAACAACTTTGAGGTTAGTATCTAACCCGAATCCTCTATTCGTAGAGGTTCGTAAATTTTGGAAAGCGGCCCATTTGAGCCGCACCAATCGGAAGTTTTAACTACGCCTTTTTTGATTTTGGAAACCGTGTATTATACTATTGATTTTTGCATAATTTTTACTTAGCCCAATACAGCGCAGCTCTCCTTTTAATTTGAAAACTAAAAACATCGAGTTGGTAGAGGAAAGCGGGTATTGTGCGTTTTTCGCCTGTTTCTTTACATAAGTTTAAAAACTTAATTTTACTGACTTGATTCAACCATTGGACCCACTAAAATGCTTGCTTTAAATAGCCTGCAGGTCGAATCCACCACGCTTCAAAAGATTTCTACCGAGAAGGACAGCCCGGCACAAAATGATGTTTCGAGAAATCATCGGTAAAAAGGACAAAACACTGTGTTATTGCACAATATGCCGGCGCTATTCTAAATCTACTAAAATTGGACGAATTTTAAGAGCAAAAACATCCGTAAAAATGGTATACTTTCCCGCTATCCGATCCTTAAATTCCCAATTCTGAACTCTGAAGTGGAGCATCCATTTGTCCTTTTCTCTACAAAAATAGTGTACTGTTTTTGTTGTTTGTTATGCCGAGGTGATGGGGGCGTCAGAATTTTTAGTATAATTACCCCCACGACACATGCCGCGGATTCCAGGGGGTGTTGAGCTGTGATGCGTGTGTGTACGTACAGGGTCGTACAGTCGCGCGCGTGGCGGAAAAGCCCCGACTAATTGGTGGTGCGGTTTTTGGCGCCTTTTGGAGGAGAGCGAGAGAGATAGAGAGAGAGAGAGAGCGAGAGAGAGAGAAGGAGAGAGAGCGAGAGAAAGAGAGACAGAGGGAGTCCTAATCGGCGTAATACTAAACGCCAGAATACTACACGAACCAATAACAATTTTCAAACTTTGTTATTCGAAACGATACAAAGTATCAAGCAATAAAGATACTTTAACTTCTAGCAAACGTACTTAAAATCTCGGCCAGAAAATGTCCGATTAAAAATCGAGAAAAGCGGATCCCGGAAAATGGAGCTCGGCTTGGGGTCGACCGGCTGGTTTGGGTATGCAAATGTGGGGCAATGGAGAGAGAGATAGAGTGAGAGAGAGAGAGAGAGGGAGAGAGAGGTTGAGAGAGAGAGAGAGAGAAGGAGGGAGAGAAAGAGAAAGAAAGAGGCAGAGAAAAAGAATGTTCGCCCAGCCGGTATCCTCTCGCGCTCAAAGCCGGCTGCCATCAACCCTCCCACACCCAAGCTAACGGACAAATTTCTGGATTTAACGAGAATTTCTAACACTTAATTTGAGGATTTTGCTTTGAAAAACCTTAAAAATAACGTTAGGAATCAGAATAGCTTTAAAAATTAATATAAACGAAAAAGTGTCATTGCAAAATCTACATACTAAGCTTTTAAATGGGCGCTAAAAATATGCTACATGACGTTTAAATTAAGACTATTTAAATAAATAATTAAATGAAAGCGTTGAATCATCTTATATTTTACTAATGATATTAGAAAGATGAAACCAAAACTATTCTGGCCAGCTAGAAAAATAATGTTTCAGAGAACGATCCTTACAATTAGTTGCCAAGCGGATTAATTTGAGATTCGCGATCTTTTTATTTAGTTTGAAATTGAAGGTTAAACATAATGATTACAATTCATTATAATTAAAATTAAGATCGTAGGCGCGTCGGATCCGAGACGCGATTGCTCAAAATGCATCAAAACGAACCCCTGGAAAAGCCGAAACATCAATAGGCAAACAGACATTTTTGAGGCGGGTGGCGGCCCTGAACTATGGACGCAAATGGACGACGTTAAGCTCCAAATGACGTTCAGATTATTGGGGACCTTGAAAAGTCAAGGCCGGTAACGGGAAGGAGTTCTAAATTGATTGCAAAAAAATTGCAGCAAGTAATAACACTTCGAAATGAAACAGCTTTCCTAAAGTAAAATCAAAAACTTGTCTGGGGGTTTTCGGGGTGCCTATTTAATGCTGTGTCATTATGATTGACGTAAAGTCGAACAATATTACTGCTTTTCTCTCTTTCTCTCTCTCTATCGCTCTCTCTCCTTCTTTCATAGAAATTGCACGATTCACCTTGAGGGAATCCCCGATAAAATGCTTTTTTTTTCGGATTAATAGGGCTGATTTGATAAGGCAAAATGCGTAGGCACTGACGAAATTTAAAAATTCAGTTCAAAATGCCGGCTAAGGTTCACTCTTTAAAGCCTCAAAATTGCCGAAGTTTGTCGTCTCAAATATACTTCCTCTCAAATCTTACTCAGTAAACCAAACTAAAAAATTAGAGTTTCAAAAACTGATAACTATCGCGTTTTTCAGCTTGAGCAATCGGGATAATGGCATAAGTAACTCTAGAGTCTTGACGCCAGCAGAAATTAGTAGGTTTTCAGAAAAATTAAAGCAAAAAAAAGTGTTGCAGAATACAGTAAACCCATCAAACCTCGGAAGTCATAAGCCGGTGGACAAAAAAATGGGTTCCATAAGTTAATTGGTATCCGGGCATCTCGAATTGATAATCGGCGGACCAATCTTCTTTGGTCAAAATGTACCAAATAGAAATTCCCATACCTTGTAGGGTCGTAAAACCGGCAAATCGGATGTCTTGCAGGCACAGAAAATTTGCGTGAATTTCACGGGCATAGGCGCGCAACAAGGTCGAGGAAATTGAGGGGATTTTTTGCGGAAACAAGAAGAGAGCGGAAGGGGCACATTTTTTTCAGAGAGAGAGAGTCGGCGAGAGAGAGACGGAGAGAGAGTGAGAGAGAAGGCGATAGAGAGAGAGAGGGCGAGAGAGAGAGAGCGAAAGAGAGAGAGAGAGAGCGAGAGAAGATAAACGAAAGTAAAAATAAAAGAAAGTGTGGAGAGCAACGGCCGCGTAAATAGGATCGAGGAACAGTTGGCTGGGAGGAAAT